CTCAAAAGATCCTCCTCTCAATCCTGATCCCATGTCTAAAACTGATCTGCAGGGTAATAAGGGAGATAAGGGTCCCTTACCCATTCTTCAAATGATGTGGATGGCCTGGAGTGCCACCACACACTAGCCCTTGGGCCATTCTTGATGCATCGGACCCATTCGGAGAAATAACCCCTCACTACACCAGCATAGTCTACAGTCATTCTCTTATAGAAGTGAACTCTGTCTCTGATTCTAGTGCCTATTGGGCGAGCAGAAATTCTCCGCTCCTGTTCAAGCACAACTTTGTCCCAAATCAGGGCATGACACTGGTCCGACAAATCTGCATTCTCTTCAATCAGCTCGATTAGGGCTCCTCCTTGTTCGACATGTGCCCGCTGAAGATTGTTCAGCCATTCATTCAGTCTAGTATTGTCATCTAACGTTCGGGTCACCTTCTCTCTTAGCCTTGTGTTCTCGCCCCTCAGGTTTTCTATAGTCTCCATCATGTCCTCACAGGTAGGGGTGCGGGGAGTGTAGTCTTCCGAGAGTTCGGGCGTGGTCCCTTGCCTGATGGGCTCGCATGATGACGCTTCACCAGTATGGGCTGGACTATTGCTTTCGTACCGGGTACCGGGAACCTGTCCGGTGCTGGGGCGGTGACTGTCAATCGACCCTCTATTCGGTCCTAGCCCGTAAGGCGTCCTAGGGTTCCGTATCCGCGTCCGCGATCCCGTCTGATAGCCCTGGTGTGAATGGTGCGAACCATATCTCCTACAATTAAAAAGGAATACTAAGTCGGGTAGTGACGTAAGATCAAACTTAATCGCATGCTAAGCAATGCCAATACAAAATGAACATGTGCTTCTAATAATCCTTTCAGTTTAAGCTTAGGCTAAGTAAATCTTAACCTATTTACCTTAAACTAAAGCTCTAACAATCTTCTCAGTTTAAGCTTAAGCTAAGCAAGTTTTAGCCTAATTACCTTAAACTAAGGCTTTGATACCAACTTGTAACACCCTCATTTTCATCAAGAAAGTTGTTACGTAATCTAAAACATTTTACCTTAATAGATACACCAAAATAATAGCTAAATTAAAACCATTTAAACTATTACAGCGGAAGTCTTTGAATCATCAAAATTTAACTTAAGTTCAAACCCACCTTCTCTTGGGGTTAAGTTACAAAAGATCATTACAGCGCATCTTAGACAAAAGACTAAAATGAGATGATAATAAGCAACACTCTAAGTATGTCCTTTGCCTTTATCCGTCGTCGAATTACCTGGGCCTGAGATGCATACTATAGTCAACTTATAAAGCTTAGTGAGTTCATGGTTTTCGTGTATAAAATCATTGTACGTCATACATTTCAACTTGTAAACCTTGTACCAAGTAGCATGCAATTTCTGAAAACATGCAACACTGAAAGAAATGAGATCTCATAAATTATCTGTCTGGAATGGGTCATTTAGTCACAAACACACCTTGGGTTGATACTTCATTCTCGATTGATCACCCACTTGTCCGGGTAGTGTTTTATACTGGTCATGACTTATTAGTCACCAACAGGCCCTGGGTATCACAATCTTAACTTATCACCCACTTGTCCGGGTAGTGTTTTATACTGGTCGTGACTTACTGGTCAAATGCCCACCCATAAATCATCAAACTTTAGTATGGAAAAGCATGCTAGAGTTATTCGAAACATGATTAAACACATAGCATGCAACTGATCATAGAACGTCATACATGTAAAACATATCATGTATGTAAACTGAAACATCATGCATTTGTACCACCATCATATAAATCGTATAATGCTTGAAAATAAATTTATACATAGGTATGCATCTCATTGTAAGTCTCATGAAGACTCACCTGATAGCATTGATTGCTTAGTTAACGGTGCTGACTGGTAACCTACAATTTATAGTAGCGAATAGTACATAAATGATAATTTCCTCAAAAGACTATAAAAGTCATCTTACGGTCAACTATTCGCTTGCTATTCTAAAAGTCTTATCAAACCATCGTGGCTAAGGATGAAACGCTAAGGCTGCCTCTGTGCTAAGTCTTGGAGAGGACCAGAGCCTCTGTGGTATCGACCAGGGCCTCTGTGGTATCAACCAGAGCTTCTGTGGTCTCTCTCTTTTAGAGCTTCTGGTTTCACGACCAGAGCCTCTGGTTTCAAATCATAAGAAAATAATACAATCACCAAGGGCCGGAGCCCCTCTGTGGTCTCTTTCACAGAGCTTCTGGTCTCACGACCAGAGCCTCTGTGGTATTGACCAGAGCCTCTGTGGTTGAGCCTTAGGAAATAATTCGGTACTAAGGACCAGAGCCCCTCTGTGGTCCCTCCTCCAGAGCTTCTGTCTAACACAACTTGATACAGAGCTCTCATGTAGAGTTTCACTATAACATAACTTGATACGAAGCTCTCATGCAGAGCTTCTGGCTAGCATGACACAAAGCTCTCATGCAGAGCTTCTGTCTAACATACTTGATACAGAGCTCTTATGCAGAGCTTCTGTGTAACATTCTCTAAGGTGGCTTCTAAGCAGGATGCGATACAACGTGTTTAACAAAAGAAATCTAATCCTTGAAATCGAACCCTAAAACACATTCTAGGGTTCTATACAGGGCCAAAGTCACAACTAAACATCGTTTAAATCATAAATTGGGTCGAGCGTTTACCTCTAAACGACGGGAAGCAGGGGGTTTCTTGCTGGTTTGAACTCCAGCTTCTCTCTTTCAAGCTCAACGATTCCCTTCTTCTCCCAAAAGAATAACGACCTTAACCTGGTGCCCTCAATTTATACTCACACGATTTAGCCTATTAGTTGACCAAATCGGCAGAATCCCGAGTTTTGGGCTGGGAACTGCTCTCTTCTACAGCCTGCAACCATGCAGGTCACAGTTTCCTCTTATGGACCAGGCACTGCCTGATCCTCTGCTGCTTCTCCCTAGTTGGCAGCAGGCTCCCCCTCAAATTGGAGCCTTCAACGTCAGTCGTAAACAAATTTGATTTATTTCAAATTTCTAACTTTTATTTAACACACACACACACACATATATATATATATATATATATATATATATTCATAAATAAAATAGAAATAATAATAAAGATGCCTTATTTTATTCCTCGAAATTTTGGGTTTTACAATCTCCTTACTGCACCGCACCACCATATCACCATCTTCGGCGAGCTCTACTACCACGTCACCGTCTCCAACGAGCACCTACACTTAACGTACAACATCTCTTCATTTCTCTTCAACCAATGGCGAACCAAAAAAATTTAAAGGTATTTTTTAGAACGAAAAGAAAGTGAATGAAAAAAAAAACCGCAAAAAAATAGAAAAAAAAAATTAAAGAGTGTTTTTAAGAGCGAAATGAAATAAAAGAAAGAGAAATAAAAAAGAACATAAAATTACATGTTTTTGAATACGAGAGATTGGAAAAAGAAAGATCTCGATTTTACAAAACCTTCATAACCAAAGCGTCACAACAACATCCAAAGGTGACCTTTGGATTCTTAGGGGGGCAAGGAAGAGGCTGTTATGTTAGTTGTAGCGCGCCTTCCCTCTTTATAACAGTTCGAAAAGATTTTGCAGTCACATCCTTATTTATTTTATATAGGATTGTAATTGATGGATAAATGTATAACTTTATAAATATTTTTTAATTGTGTTAAAATTTTCCCTTTCCTCCTATATTTGGGAGGAGATTTATAGAAAGAAAATCATATTTTTCTTTCTTTTTCTTTTCTTTTCCTCATAAAAAAGCTCGAGATTATGAGATTTTCCTCGCTTTTTATCCATTTCCCCTTCCTCTGTAAAAAGGTCTCAGGTAACTACAAGGGTAGTGCCTGATTGGTTTGAGCTTGGCTCCAAAGTTCAAAAGTACCAGGAGGTCTCAGGTTCAAATCCAAGGAGGAATAAAAATCTCATTGTGGTCATGGAGGTTCAGGTGGCTCCGGGCTATCTGCAAAGCAGATGGTCGCCCTGAGATTAGTCGGCTTGCATAGCGGGTTGGATATCCAGGTTAATACAAAAAAAGGGTCTTAGGTTCAAATCGAAAAAGAAATAAAAATCCTCTTGTGACCACAAAGATTTAAATGCGGTGACTCCGAGTTACCTGCAAAGCAAATGGTTATTCTGAAATTAGTCGGCTTATATAACGGGTTGGATATCTAGGTTAATAAAAAAAAGAAAAAAAAATCCAAACTTTTTAACAAACCCAAAAACCCTCGTCACACACTCTTTATGAGTGTCAAACATGTGAAACCATGATGCGAGTCACCCTTGTGCACCATGTCTACACCATCTCCCAACAACACATTTTTTAAAATATAGATTTTAGGTTAATTTTTTATTCCAACAAATTTTTCTTAACTTTTTTTAAAACTAGAAAAAAGAAGAGATAAATAGAATTCTTTAAATTTAGAAGAAAAAAAAATGATTTTACGTCAAAAAAAAAAGACAATTTTGCCCCTCACATGAAGGGTATATAAAAAGTTAACAGATTTTATTTTAACGGTATTAATTTGAAGGATCTTGAATGTCATGAAATGGGAAAGTTAAAGACTCTTAGGGGCCGTTTATCAAACGTTTACCCGGGTAAGCACTTACCAAGTCACGTTACCTCACTGGATGAATATGATAAAAACCAAGAATCTTACCCGATAAGAACGAGACAAAGACCAAGAGCCTTATCCTGTAAGTGAGAACGATGACTTTTACTATGGTAAGCACTTACCAGGTATTGTTACATACGATATCGTTTTAGTGAACTAAAATCTTACCCGGTAAGTAAATAGTAATATTAAATTTTACCAGTAAGAACTTATCAGGTAAGTGTTCGGTAAACGGCCCCTTACTCTCTTGGTATAAATAGTTTATTTTATGGACCAAATTCGAAATTTGCGAAAACCAAATACCATCAAAATATAATTTACTCTTTTATTAATTATAATGAATATTTCTAATAATATAATCGTCGTGTTGTAATACCAAATTGATGAAAAAAATCATTTGAAGTTGGATATGATTTTAGTTTCTCCACTCTAAACAAATTATTAAGAATCTATTGAACATGCTCTTAAAATAAGAAACATATCATGTTTTTATCGAAGAACATGTTTTTTAGTACCGTCTCCACAACAACGGTTTCTCAGTTTCCCAAACAGGTTTTTTTTCAGAAAACGACCACGAAACGCAGGGTCATTGTGATAGTTTTTCATTACGAGATTCTATTTCTTTTCCAGGCTCATTTCCTGAAGATTCAGCAACAGATTATCAGCATTCAACAGGACTTTGTTTGATGAATTCGCCATCGTTGCCGCAATTTCTCGAGCAGCTTCGATTTTCCTGAGTGTTATGAACGCCGGATTGTTGGAAATTGCTTGACCAATCAGTTGGGCACTTTTCGCCTCTCCCTGTTATGTTAATTAATACAACCACAAAATCATGTGTTAGTTGTTCACCAACCAAAATGCCAATACTCCACCTTTGACTTTACAAAGTCAAACTTGACTTTACAAAGTCATAGACATAGATCTGTATTAGTTCTACTATCACCACCTATATATTTAGATAGCTACCATTTTTCTATGGAGAAATATACCGAACGTGTGTGTGTGACTATATATATGTATATATATATATATATATATGGGAACGAGGGGAAGAGAACCGAAGAACTCATCCAAACCGTTGGATTGAGATGATCCAACGGATGTGATTAAGGAGGTGGTTAAAAAAATACAAATATTTCTTCTAAAAATTAAAAATCAGAAATCAGCAAAATATAATTTTTTTTGAATAACTGCCATCTTGGGTATCTCCTGTTTTAATGACAATGTTTCCTTTCTGAAGTTAGTTGTTTGGACAAGGTGGATCTAGTTTGAAGGGTATGTCTGTTAGTAGCTTAACGTGCTTAATGAAACTAAAATTTTATCCAGTCAGCTATACATAACTATTTGGGCTTATTCAGTAAGTTTTCAGGGAGAAGCTTTATGCAGAAAGCCAAGTTTCTTCCAAATCTACCCCTTCCAAAGTAAAAACAAGTTTTTTCCATCTACCAAAAACCCCTCCCAAACAAAACCTTCCCAATCCATACAAATAACTTTATCCATACATGCGTAGGGTCCGTTTACCAAATGCTTACTCGGTTAAGCGCTTACCAAGTCACATTTCCTTACCAGATGAATATGATAAGGACAAAGAATCTTACGCGGTAAAAGCGAAATCAAGGACCAAGAGTCTTACCCGGTAAGTGATGGCGACGACTCTAACCATGGCTAGCATTTACCGGGTAAATTGTTACATACATGTCGTTTTGGTAAACTAAAATCTTACCCGGTAAGTAAGCGATAATGTTGAATTTTACCGTTAAGTACTTACCAGGTAGCGTTTAGGTATACAGCATGGAAAACAACCAAACAATCCCTTGCTGTAATTGGTTATCCATTCAAAAGTAAACCATATTTCGGATGAAAATACCAAAAAAACACCACTGCTTACAAGAATTGGCAAATTTAGATAAATTATGGTTTGTGTTTTTGAGGAACGATGACTAGTTTGCAACGAGAACTGGTTTGAGCCGCCCATCATGCATCTAAATTGTTTTTATTCTCAATGGTATCATTAGATTTCTGAGTAACTGTTCTCCAAGAGTGTGTTTGGTATGCAAACAGGACTATACGAGCAAGAATGAGGTAGGTGGATCATGGGTGACAATTCTTTAGAGTTTTAATTTGACATAGGTAATTAAGTAATTTACAAATTATGTCCCATCTCACAGATTTGTGTTTCACCTATTTAATTTTTGTCCCAGTCAGTATGTCCAGTCTCAGTCTAACGTCCCACCAAACGTGGGACAAGTTTTTGTTTTATCCGGTTCCACGTGTCAAATGCACCCTCCCTAATTGAACAATTTCAATATTTGCAGTTTTGAGGATTTAGGGAAAGAGTGTGACCTGTGCTCTGATGATGGCACTTCGCTTGTCTTGCTCAGCCTTTTCTACGACAAACTTGGCCCTCTCGGCTTCCTGTGCAGCCACTTGTTTTGCTTCAATTGCAGCAGTAAACTCCCTCCCAAAAGTAAGAGTCGTGATGGATACGTCATCCAGTGCGATGTTGAAATTGGCAGCCCTTTCTGTCAGTATTTTCCGTATTTCCCTACTCACAGCCTACAAAACACGTTCTCTATAAGAAAACAGGAAAAATCAAGCCTTCGTTAGGGCACCCACAGCAGTCAAGGTTTAGAACCTCACTCGGTACAAAAAACTGAGCCCACCCCAAAAAAACTGCAGCTGGCCGGTCCATGCCGCATGGCATGGATCGCTGTATACGTACAGACAGATTCATTTCCAAAAAGAAAAATGCACCGTCTTTTTTAAATGTCCTTATAGTCACTTTATACTTTTTTAGATGTGGTCACTGTAGTGATTTTTATGATGGACCTATCAAATTCATGACAACATATGCTCTTACTTCATTATCATATTAGTTAGCATCACCATGATAAACAAAGCCCCTATTTATCTGGTTCTTAATGAGCTGGTGAATGATTCAACCATGTATTCACTCAAATATCTTTCTTTTGTTTTCCATGTGAATGAATTCTGACAATTTAGTTTCTCTTGGTGATTCATACATACGTTTTAAGTCTCGACTATTAAGAACAAGTTTCTTTTAAATTTTGACCAAAACATCATTTTTCATCTTGAGCACAAAGTAATCCCTTTCCCTTTGCTTTCTTTTATTTTATATCTTTTCATCTTCATTTTTCTCTTTATCTATACCGACACTACTCTTGTTCTATTTCTTCTTTATTTTTCGTTTCTTCTATTACTTAATTTATCTATTTATTTTATTATTTCTTCATATCATTAATTTATCTATTTATTTTATTATTTCTTCATATCATTAAATTTCTGTCTTCTGTTCTATTTGAACCCAAATTTTTGTTTCCCTTTCCTCCATCAAGTATGTACCTTTCATGTTTTATTGTTGTAACTTGTAACAAGTATTTCCATGTTCATAACTTCATATAGCAATTGCAAATAAGTATTATCCTCACAATGCTACAAATACCAACATCTGAAAACTTTGGGTTCATATCATAGTTACACAACTAATGGTTAGCTTCATAATTGTTACATTGTGATTTAACAACGTTATTCAACATGTATCGTTCAAGTTATCAAACACACTTCATTTAAACTAGTTTATGTTACTAAGATGTTTCATACATATTACTTAACAAAGTTTTCATTAGCCACCAATTTTGCAGAGTCTCTAGACTTCTCAGAACTTCTTATTTAGCAATTATTCATTCGATTTTATCAAGATTAACCATAGGGATGTCAATTTGTCGATAGAAAATAGAGATTTTGATGAATAAGGCACAAGCTTCAAGTAACTGACAAGCTTACTCCCTAATGTCACCAGTTCAGGTCACCAAAACATACAGTTCATTTGTATCAAGGTTTGCCCTTTCTTTTAGAAATGAAAGGTTGAAACCATCAGAATGGGATAAAGGTTTGTATATCAATGAAATGGAAGTTCAGAAAGACAAAACAGTTGAATACCATTATAGTAAGTTGAAACAGGGATTGCTACATACCTCTCTCTGGGTAATAAGCTGGCTAGCATTATACTGTGCAACAACAGCTTTCAAAGTTTCATGAATAATTGAAGGCAGGACTCTCTCATTGTAGTTCTCACCTAGAGTTCGATAAACCGCAGGTAGTTCGTCAGCAACAGGACGAGTAAGAACTCGAAGACCTATTTTCACCTGCATCACAGAATTCAGGAAGTCAACATAACAAGACAACACTGTTTCAATGCACCTATAAATAGACAGAAGATGATATATCCTCCTAAAAAACTTCCTAAAACCACAGAGGATCTTCCTTGAGAGTTGGGACAACCAAAGAGATTAATTTTGATATGTTCTTATACATGATTGCATGTATCAGAAGTGGTTAAGGAGAAAGTATAATTATCAAATAAAAATAATTGCAAAAAAAGACATCTGATTGGCTTAAAGTGCAGTCTGAGCATCAATAACCAACAGATATCACACAACCCAATATTATATACTTATCCTCTTTTTGGTGGGGTTGCTAATCCAAATGCATCATGAAATCTAATCCACAACACCTCATCTTAATAATTGGTGTTGTACATGTACATATTACAGCTACAGGTAAACCCAACAATTATTGCCAGAATCCCTAACCAGATAATACCACCAACTAGTACAGGTGATAGTAAAATGACTTAAGAACAAATAAATGGAACTAAAAATGCCAAGCATCCAAAATCATGGCTAAGCAAACCACTGGGCACTCATATTAGTTGCGAATATGCCATAGAGAACCAGAAGCATGTAAACCACTGAATGGTAAATAATGGAACTATTACACTGCAATCAACCAATAATATAAAAGTCATCCTCAGCGGTCACCAAAAAAATTGACACATTATAGATCTCCAAAAGGCTTCATATAGCAATCTACATACAAGCCTGAATGTACTGAAGTTCAAACAAAGAAAGAAAAATAGGTCCAAAAGATAAAAGAAGAATAATATCCAGTAACGGTGGACTGATTGTTTTGAGTTCATTTTGATTGGAAACCAGGGTACCACCACACTTGGTATAGCATACATAGTCCCCCATGTCAAGCAATAGCCAGGGTTGTTGAGACCAAGGTGATAGCCAAGTGGTATAAGTTTCTCCATTTCCTGGTTCAGACCTTATCTAGTACCTCCAATCAAGAGCCAAAAACAAAACAAAACAAAACAAAAGGGAATCCCAAGGCCTACTGGAAATATATCAATATTGTGAAGAATTGCATGCCTTGCCAGATGATGAAAACTGGAACCAACCAATATTAAGTAAAATTTTGCAACAAGAAATTGAACAATATAAAGATACACTCACATGTGTATATGCATGATTCTTTAAAGGCACAAATACAAATAAACACACACACAGGAATTGATTAATAAAAAATTTGGAGATAGATACCATTTGTAGATCACGGCTGCCGGAAGTGCTTTCTACTAGATGGGGTCGAGCACGAACATCATAGATAACTGGCCTCTCAAACCATGGGATCATGATGTGTGTCCCTTCTGGGTAAACCTATTTATTGAACATGCAAGGATTTAGCACAAATGGGATGCAAGCATACAACAATACAAAAAGGTGCTGTTTATCATTTTCTTGAAACAGGACATGTTAAACATATTGAAAACTTAAGAAAAAACTTTATATCTATTGTACTGTCTACTATAGGCACTTACACCTTGATTCAAAAGATTTGGAATGTTCATATGATAAAATCAGACAGGTAATACACTAATACTTGGTACCACCTTCTCATTATTGAATGCTGTCGAATAATATTCATTGGTAGAAAGATCTTTTAGCATCGATGTTATAAAAAAGAGTTGATAAGAAACTCAAGGAATAGTCAATTAGTAAACCCAAACTCCCAAAGCATTACACAAGTTTTGTCACAAGTGCAGCAAAATAGCCTTTTAAGTGCTTTATGCATAGGCAGGCAAGCTTCATTACTTTTGCACGAATATAAACAAGGAATCTTAATTAAAATCCAGTGTTAGAAAGGCCTTGTTAATCCACCCAATCTAATTCTATACTGTCGCATTGAGAGATAAAATTTTGCTTGTTTCTTCTTGTGTTTGATCTTTTATTAGATTTTTTTAAGCATTCAATCTACTCTGATACCATTAGCTGTTTATATAGTTACATTAAGATAGATATCTTCCCAGGATATATAGGTTACCATTTTGTTCTATGTATTATTTCTGATAAGGGACAGCCTCCTGGACAAGGCCACCCACATTACAGTGAGGTAGGGTCAAACATACATAGCCTTTCCCTGAAGGAATCTGTTTTGAACATATGACTCCAGATCACAAAGGAAGAGCCATATTGCCACTTCAAGTTCTTTTCCTTCTCGCTAATGCAACAACACCAATGCATATAGCTTCAACCATGTCAGGTCAAAAAAGTGACATTTATACAAAGCCTTACCGCTCAAGAAATTGTTCCAGCCCATGACATATGGGTCCATATAAAGCAAACCAACTGTCATGGCAACTGGCAAGGACTGCTTATCTCTTACATTCTGGATGCATTTTAAAAGTTTTAGTTTGAGCCAAATGATTTATCATCTCATAACCCGTAAGTAGATGAGTGTTAGATGAATTGCAGAATTTGTGTAAATCCTGGTTGAAAGGGTACAAATGTTCATATGCGCATCCTTTAGAACATAAGGTTTTTGAACTGTAGAGCTACTTTCACCTCAACAATCAGTGACTAATAGAAAATTATGGACACCATTCAGTTGAAATTTACCGTCAACTCAATATAATTATATGCCTTACTTGAAGAGGCAAGTTTCAAAATAGTTGAAGGTTCCGATACACCGATAATGCAATACTGCTATTAGACATACATTCCTGTCAATTACAACAGTAAACCTTCTTCGACAGAGCCTCCATTACGAGAATGTATATATGCACAAGGCTTCCACAAAAGAATGTTCTGTAGTATACAAACATTATCTCAAGTAAGGATATTGTTTCCATCATAAGAACCCATTCAAAAACAATCCGGCTATATCTGTTTCGCCTTGTTATTTCACACAAACAGGTTTGTTTATGGCCAAAGGCCATGAATTGTATTATATTGCAAAAATGGGTTATGTTGTATGAGTTCAGTAAGACACTCCCTATTCCATTTTCTACAATTTGCTAGCCTGGTGAATTTTATCATGTATTTGCAAGTTACACACAAATATAGACCTAAGTTCCATATAAATTATATATATGTGTGCGTGTATAAGTCCACTACTTCACAGTGCAGATATAATAAGGATCTTCATGTGCATCTGCTGTGAAATTGATCAAGAAAAGCTAGGCCCAAGTTTGAATCATCGAATCTTGCTTTCAACTCAAAAATATTTTTGAGGAACCCCAAGCTTGCATAGCGTGTGAGGGATATAAACAAGATATTTGAACAGCAAAACTTGAACATGACTTACAAACTTGGTGGACAGTGGGATAAATGATTCGGCCTAACTTGGATCGAATGTTAACAAATATACCATGTGTATAATTTTACACTAGTATTTAAAAACTAGTATACTGACTATAACAGGCTCAACCTCAGCTCATTTAAGTCCATGTAGAGATAGGAAACAATACATTTGCAAGCTTGGGTTACTCGAAAGCATCCAATGCAACCCTTTAAGTCTCAAACAGGTGATATAATTCACAAAGATCATCTTATAATAATCGTTCCTTCAGAGATTCAAGTAATAGGAAATTTATAATATCAAAACTCTAGAAATGAAAACAAAAACAGAGATTGCACCAACCATCTTGAATCCATGTGCTCACCTATTCCTTATAAGATTAAACTAGTAGTCACCTGAGAGACTAAATAAAAAGGTTGCATTTGACATTTGTCAATGTCGTAGTCAAACTAGCAAAGATATAGACATAGAAACATTAGAGCAATAATATCCAATTAAGGATAAGGTTTCATCCCTATCAAGGCTTACAGAATTATTTAAGTCGCTACACAAGACATATACAATAACCTAAATTATCAGGTCATGATACCTTTGTTGAGTGTGAAAGCATTCAAAAGTAAAAATGCAATAAAAATAAATGAAAATTAACCTTGTCTTTGACACCAACAATACGATTGAAGACAATTGCACGATGCCCTCCCTCAACATTGTACAAACTGTTACCAGCTGCATACAATCCAAGACCAATAACGGCCCCAAACTTTATCAATGCAGAAGCTGCACGGCCATCAGGCATCCTGGGTACCTTCACGTTGTTGAGATTCATCTTCCCTGCCATTCAAGTCCCCATATACAACAATATATCATTTCATGAAATAGAAATTGTGATAAGAAGTATAACAAAACTAACAGAAATTTGGGTCTGCAAATGCCTTTAAATGTCTCATAGGCTGAGTGACGACACATTTCAGATTACATAGGCCACATAGTCACATACAATTTACGATATCTTTCAGAGAGAATAGGTTTTATTCAACAGTTGCGGTCAAAAACCACATTTCAACCTTAAAACCAATTCAGATAAGTTAAATTTCAAAAAAGTAAACCAATAAGTACATTACACTTGATGTCAAATGCTATAACTGAAAACTATCTGTTGTTTAACTTGCCAAGCAAAAAAACTTATTGCATATTTCAATCGGAAATGCAATAGGTTTAACCTCTAAATCAAAAGTGATCCGATCCTTTGTAAGAGATAAGCACAAACCCACAACCAATTATGAGATAACATGCTCTCCACGAGCATTTACAACTATAAGGACCATTTCCAGATTACAAAACACATAAGAACTTGCACGACCAATGTAAATAATAATTCGTAATAGATCTTCAATTCTAACTGATCCCGAACTCATATGCCAGAATCTCGAATCGAACAACTAGAAGGAAAAAAAAAACCGTAATCCAGAACTGCAGAAATGGAGTCAATTCATCCCAAACTTTGATAACAATTCACACACAAACATACATTATACAAATGTTGAAAAAGTAGATACTGAAAGGGTTTTAGGTTTTCAAAATCAAACAAATATATCAACACAAATTTAACATATGTGTACCTTTATCAAGGATTCAGAGTGTGTTTACAAGGGAACTTCCAACGGCGTGGCGGCGAAGGAGCGGAGAGCGATGAAGAAGAGAGGACTTTAATGCAGAGGGTTATCGAGGGTTTTGGTGATGATGTCACTCCGTGTGAAGTGCCCTCCAAGTTTTTCCCAAGCTGATTTCTTTTTTTTCATTTTGTACACCAAACTTCTGGAATTTACAGTTTCTTCCTCATTGGCTTTTCAGTATTTCCATTTTGGTCACTTTAACGTCAACAACGTCCAAATTGACAAATATTGTAATAAAAAGTGATCATAGGTGTAATATAAATTCAAAAATCACCAAAAAAAATGTTATATCGTTAGGCCCGTTATTAAAGCTATTTATTCCTAAAAATTGATTATGTAACGTAACTTGTTGACTTTCTATTTGACTTACCATTGATGAAGTTCGAACCCCTGATCTCCTAGGAGGCAAGAAGCTCAAATACTGCTAGGTCAAATGTCCTTTGGTTGCTCCTAGTTTTGTTTTGTTAGCAAGTAATACTTCTATTAACCACCAGATTAATTGATTTGTATGATGGGTTTGTGTAATCGATCTAGCTTAAATTATTGGTGTCTAGTCGTTAATTATGATTGGTGTTTATCTCGTATTAAATGGCAAATTGATCTTTAGGTTCGTAACTAGAATTGATTTAAGAATATGAAGTAGTTCATAAAAAATTTCATGTTGGTCTAATCATAAGGATAAACATAATGCTGGTGGGGTATCAACACTTATGGTCGGTCTTGAATGAAATGAGAAAATGTCAATTGAATAGTCAAGGATACACGATCTAATCGGCAAATTGGTAGATGCCTATTACTATAAGTCTTCTTATTATTGTCTTGCTATTACATTCATGTATCGATCCCTCCCCCCATATTAGGCATGGCAACGGGGCGGGTTTTGTAATCCCCGACCCTGGCCCAGGTTTTTAGTAACAGCTCTGGTCTCCTGCGGGTATGGGGATTAACATCCTGTCCATGGTTAAAATATAGTCAAACCTTGGTCCCTGGTCCCCGACTCAAGACCCGTTCCTCGACTCGGTCCAATCTTATATTTCCTAATACAAATACTCTTGAAGTTTATAGTTCTATGCCAAAACCTAGCAATAGTTAATAGTTCTATGCAAATAGGATTCCATGTTTCCTAATACAAATACTCTTGAAGTCTTTCCCAATATCGAATTACAATTACAAATTTCTAAATTCAACTCACTAATCTTGAATGGATAGAGATAGATAGATAGTAGATATACTCACATAACAGGATTACAGGATGCGTCGGCTAAATGGCAGAGGGCTGGACCACTGGAGGATGTCGAGGACTCGAGTAGTCGACAGGTCAGAGAGGCAGACCGACAGAGGGTTGGAGGAGACTGGCGAGTGGGCAGTGGCAATGAGCGAGGTGAGGACCGAGGCCTCGACTAGTGAGATCTGACCTCGATTGATGGCTCTATTTGGACCATTTCCTTTTAATTTTTTATTATTTGAAGTCCAACAGCAACAAAGGCCCACTATCATAATTTTCAAAGCCCAAATACTTATTAAATGAATATTAGTATACTGGTTACGGGGCTGGATGGGGGTACAATACTTGGCCCCGCCAAACCCCGGTTTGAGTCTACCAAGGATCCTCGGCCCATGGACTCCTTTTAGCGGGGATTCCCCATCCTCGTTCGAGTCGGGTGAGCCAGGTTCCCCACCTGGTTAGGGAAAGTCACCATCCTTACCCCCCCCCCCCATTACTACTTTTAACAACTTACACATGACACACATTTGACATTCACCATTTACATGTGTTCTATGGATACGACCATGTTTGTGTCTATCACAAATTTGTATTAGGAACAACAGGATTCTATTATTATTTGTCACCGTCAACCTTCATTACCCACGTCAAGTACCTATTTGTTAGGTTACACTTGATAGACAAATATTATAATATAAAAGTCTCTTTTATCATTTTAACATTTCTACTTTGAAATATCATATCTTAACATTTGTAACAGTTTTCCTAATAAATGAATAATAATGGGATGGTTTAACTCGTTGAAATTAAGAAAATTTAATACTACAAAATATACATAAATTATCTTAAATCCAAATCGATTCTAGGATCAGTCTGAAACCGGTCTTTCAGGACTTCGTTATAGGTTCATTACCCCAAATTTTTGGACATAAATGATATAAAATATGAAGTTGAAAAATTAGATATAACATTTTAGAAGTTGATAGGGTGTTGAATAGTAATTAATCAAACTTGGAGGACTTATTTTGTGAGAACGGAAAGATTTGAAATTGGGTTATGGATTAAGAAGTCCTTTTTGAGAGGTTGAAGCACACCATAGGTGCTTGATTTATGAAGAAAATGGTGAAATTTAGGGGATTTCACCAAACGCTTATTCGAGTAGGTGCTTATCAAGTAACATTATCTCACCGGATGAATATGGTAAAAACCAAGAATCTTATCCGGTAAGAGCGAGACAATGACCAAGAGTCTTACCCAGTAAGTGAAGGCGACAACTCTTACCACGGTAAGCGCTTACCGGGTAAATTGTTGCATATGATGTCGTTTTGGTGGACTAAAATCTTACCTAATAAGTAAATAATATTGTTAAATTTTACCGGTAAGCACTTCTTGATTAAGTGTTTAATAAATGACTCCTTAGTCATCATTTGCATCTCCTCTAATTTACAATTGAAATCCAAAAAGACTTCCATATTAAAAGTAAGAATTAAACGACTAAGTAGAATTTAATATGGTTAGTAGCATGTGATGTACTACAAGTGTTATAGGTGTATGAATGCAATCAAGAAAGAGGCCTTAAAGAAACACATTTATAGTGTTGTATATAGAGGTGTAAATGATGCGAGTCGAGTTCGAGTATCGATGTATTCGACTCGAGCTCGATAACCATTTCTCGAACTCGATAACCATTTCTTAAACTCGATCTCGATTCAAAAACTCGTGAATAGTTAAAAATTAAACTCGACTCGAACTCGATTGTAATTTCTTAAACTCGAACTCGAGCTCGAACTCAGCTCGAACTCCTACTCGAATCAAGCTCAACCGTCGAAATATATGAAATTTTAGGGTCTTCTCTTATAAATTATAAACTTAAAAGATGTTCTCTTAAATTTTAAAAAACTAAAGTGATTCACCTCAAACTTCATCATAAAATAGACAAGATTACAAACTTCATTCACCTCCCTCTCTTTTTATAACACATTTTCATTATTCTTTTACTATCTCTCTTCCAACATGGGACAACTTCACCAACAATTTTGTAGGGTTTTTTTTTTGCCTTTTTTAATCATGATTTAAAAAAAATATTGATTAGTTTTTATAGTTAAAGATGCACAATATTATTTAAATATCTAAAAATATAAGACATTTTTATTACATTATATTATATATATTATAATATAAAACTGATTGTATTTTTAAAACTAATTATAGATAATAAAAAAAATCTAGTATCTCACGAACTTTTTTAGTCGAGTATTGGATAGCTCGACTCAACTCGTTAATATATCGAGTCGAGTTTGAGCCGAGCTATCCGAGTCGAGTGTTGACTGACAAAGTTTTGATCGAGTCGATCTCGAGTAGTTCGTGAGTTGTCGTTTACACCCCTAGTTGTATATTAAATGAGAGAAAGAAGTCAAGAGATGGAGCATATACTTCAATTTCGCTGTCGTTTAGCATCTAACGTAGATAACATTTGTTCTAAAAATGTTGAGATATGGTAAAGCTTATAACAAATCACCGCTTCAACAGAATAAGACATACTATATACTATGACCTTAAAACCTTAAGATCTTCACTACGAATCTCTGTGAGACGATCGCATATTGATTTTGGTCATAAATAATCGTCATTTTAGAAACAATTGATGAGTAAACATGATGCACATTTGGCCTAGAATCAAAGTCGGCCCTGGGGGTACGTCGGTGTTGTAGCCGCAGAGGGCCTCCGTTCAAGGGAACCTCTAGAACCTTTTTTGGTTTTTTTTGTTAATAATACAATTAAAGTATAAAACAAAAAATAAGTTGATTTATACAAGTTGTGTTGTAGCTAAGTTGTTAAGTGGGAATATGTATTCAAGTTCAAATATGATAGAGTTGTTTTTTTAGTTTTAGGACCGACCCTGTTTAGAATGACCTGAAATGGTGTTAAGGCTGCAACGACCCTTCGTGGAATATAGGCTACTTCAAACTCAGTTGAGTAAAGTCGCATCGAAGGTTACAAAAGATAATGATATTGGTCGGTTGTTAGTCACTCGCGAAGTCGCGAGTTTGAATGTGAGATGGGAAGCGAGTTGAAACTCACATAAGAAGTCAATTACAGCGGAAGTAGGGCAAGTTGAATTACGAGCTACTTGAAGTCGTTTTCAGGAGAAAAATAGGTTGTTAAGCGAGTTTGAAGTGACATGTGAGGTCGTTAAAAACCATTTTAAGAAGCATATTAAGATCATTTTAACAATATAATGCAAAAAAGTCCAAAACAAAATTTAATTTATTACAGTTAAATAACTAAAAAGATTAAATTACATCAAAATAAAATAAAATTTGTTTTCCTCACTACTTCTAGGAACCGTTATTCAAAAACATTTTTTTTTTGAAGAACCATGACTCATAACTTCTCGTTTAAGGGATTCGACAATCAAATTCAGGGGTTATTTATCTAAATGTTTACCCGGTAAGTGCTTACTGTTAGAAGTCACCACTGATAGGATCGTTTAACTTAATTTTGGATATTAATCACTTACTCTGGATGATCTATTTGACAATATTAGTGCAGCGGAAGCAATAAGAACAAACACAGTAGTAATCAATGAAGAACACAGTTCAATGAAGAACACTAGAGAGAAGCTTCAAATGATTTTCAATTGATTGAAAATGTTTACAATACGATATGGAAGCACACTGAATTACAAAGGCCTAAGCTGCTATTTATACTCGTTCCTAACGGCTTTTCTGACATGACCTAGACGTACAAATTAATCTAAGCCGTTCAAATAAAGCAGATTACAAACAGACACGTGATAAGCACGAGCAGCTAACTAACCTAAGTAAAACAG